CAGACACGGTGGGAATGGTGTATTGCGCAGTGCAGAAGGTCTGTTGCACCAGCTGGAAGGTGTTGCTCCCCTCTGGGATCTTGAATCGCCTCGTGCCACACCCTCACTCCTTTTTCCTTCTTCCCCATCCCTTTCCAACCCACCCTGCCCCGCCCACCCCATATCAGACACAGTGGGCATGGTGTATTGCGCAGTGCAGAAGGTGGGTTGCATCAGCTGAAAGGTGTTGCTTCCCTGGCTCTCGAATCACCTAGTGTCACACTCTCACTCCTTTTTCCTTTCTCCCCATCCCTTTCCAACCCGCCATTCCCCGGCCACCCCCCATCAGACACGGTGAGAATGGTGTAGTGAGCAGTGCAGAAGGTGGATTGCATCAGCTGGAGGGTGTTGATTCCCTGGCTCTTGAATCACTCAGTGCCACACCCTCACTCCTTTTCGCTTCTCTCCTGTCCCCTCCCACCCGCCCCTCCATTCCACGCCACCCCCCATCAGACACGGTGGGCATGGTGTATTGCGCAGTGCAGAAGGTGGGCTGCACCAGCTGGAAGGTGTGGATTCGCCAGCAGCACCACCACCCCAACCCCAACCAGCTACTAGACACCCACCTCCCAGCCACCAGCAACGTCACCGAGGTTTGGTACTCGCTCTCCGAACCTGACGCCATCCGAGCCATCACCCGAACCGACTACACCAGGTTCGTGTTCGTCCGGCAGCCCTTCACCAGAATCGTATCTGCGTATCTCAACAAGCACGTGGCGGGCGGCGGGCCGGACGGGTTCGGGCGGCAGTTCTGGACGAGGAAGTTTTTCGGGCAGCTGTGGGCTCTGCGGGCATTGGACGGGCTCAGATTCCGGTCAAGCGAAGGAAACTCGTCTGCTGGAGGGGTGGAAGGGGGTGAAGGGGTATCAACAGCAGGAGCAGGAGCAACAGTAGCAGCAGAAGTGGGGGTTGGGGCGAAGAGCGGCAGCTGGTGGGGGGTGTGGAAAGACAAGATAGAGATGGAGATTGGGCGACTGCTGTCGTTTGAGGAGTTTGTGCGACTGCTGGGGGATGCCTGGGACGAGGACAGGCGCTGGTTCCTCGATGAACACATCGCCCCCCAGGTACTTTCCTTGCACCCTTCTCCCTTGCCCCTGAGGTACTTAATGCTTGCACCTTTCCCCTCAGGTGTTTATTCCCTGCACGTTGCCTCTCGGGAAGCAGGCATTGTTGTTCCATACCCAAACCCCCTTCTCTGTGCTCCACCCCCCTCCTCCCCTCCCCACCACATCCTCCCCTCGCACACCCCTTCACCCCTCCCACATCAGAACCCCCTTCCCAATGCTCCACCTCCCTCCGTCCCTCTGCTTCCCTCTCTAACTCCTCCCCCCGCAACCCACAGAACATCCTGTGTGGGCTGGACCGCATACGCTACGACTACGTGGGGCGCTTTGAGAGCATGGACGCGGACGTGAAGGCCCTCATGCACCGCTTTGGCCGCGACCCCGGCGACGCCTTTGACTTTGGCAAGAAGATCCACCCCACCAAGTCCAGAGACCAGCTGCAGCAGATGTTCAGTAATAAGGTGAGTGGCTCAGTGCTTCCTGAGAGAAGTGATGTATGATTGGGATATCAGGCCTGTTGCTGTGCTTCAATCTCTTTGGGACCCGGGAGATGCCTTTGACTTTGGCAAGAAGATCCACCCCACCAAGTCAAAGGCGCAAGGTGAGCAGCACAGTCTCCTCTGAAAGAGCTGTGTAAGGATTATGAAGGCCGTTCCTGTGCTGGAATTTGGGCCTGGAAGGAAGTGAGACGCAGAAGCAAGCGCTGAATCGCGCTTCTTAGGTCCATCCGCTGAAAAGCAGAGAAAACATATTCTTTGGCCCATCCATGCCAGGAAGCAAGTGAGACCACCCGCAACCCCTGCATCCATCGTACATGCCTGCCTGCTCACTCTCGTGCATGCTCTGTGTTCCTCCCTCTCTGCAATCCTCTTTCCAGGAGACGTACGAGATTGTGAGGCGAGTGTACGGCATGGACATGCACGCGCCCTTGAACAACATCTCCTACGCTCCCCCCGAGGAGCTCAGCAGAATCTACGAAGTGGGGGCTGCTGGGCAGGCGGGCAGCGGAGGCCTCCTGGACTCTAAGAGTGCGGGCATGTGAAGGAATCTCTGTTGCACCGCTGTACCATGTGGTTGCAGCTTGCAGGGGTTAAAATCTCAGAGGTGCCGCTGCCATTGACGAGTGAGGTGTGGGCTCTAGGGGGGTTGGCGCTCCGAGATGTGGGGTTCTTGCACTGCCTGTGCTCCGAGATGTGGGGTTCTTGCACTGCCTGTGCTCCGAGATGTGGGGTTCTTGCACTGCCTGTGCTCCGAGATGTGGGGTTCTTGCACTGCCTGTGCTCCGAGATGTGGGGTTCTTGCACTGCCTGTGCTCCGAGATGTGGGGTTCTTGCACTGCCTGTGCTCCGAGATGTGGGGTTCTTGCACTGCCTGTGCTCCGAGATGTGGGGTTCTTGCACTGCCTGTGCTCCGAGATGTGGGATTCTTGCACTGCCTGTGCATGTGAGAGATGGGGGGGAAAGCTGCGACGGTGTCGGGGGCAAAGGAGGGACGGAGGGAGAGAGAACAGAAAGAGAGAGAGCAAGGAGAGGAGGAGAGGGAGGTGATGTGTGTTTCGCAAGCAGACACCATTGGTTGGAGGGAGCTGCCTTGGAGAGTGTAGCCGTGCTGCTAGTCGTGTGTGCTAGCAAGACTCTCGTGTGAGTGAGGCTCTCCTGAGGCGCCTCAACAACATGCTCATCTACGTGCCACGCTGGTACCCTGCTGCTGCTAGAGAAACAACCACTGCTGCTGCTGCCGTCGGTGGTGGTGCTGCTGCAAGGTGTATGGATGTGCGGCAGAGCGTGGTGCTGCTGAATAGCAGCAAGAGCGGTTCTTGAGTCGCCTCAAGCAAGAGCGGATGGCTGTTAGACCAACATGCGTCTTTGTATTTGCTCTTGAACCTTGTACGTTCCAGACAAATGGAACAGGGCTGGGGACGGGGTAGTAGTGTTGAAATAACTGTAGATTGCCTGAAGCAGCAGGATCTGTCTGGTGGTGTAACCACTGCTTCCAATTCTTTTTTTTTGTTCGATGTAAGTGTGCATTTTTTGGTACGGGATCACCATGTGCCACAATCACCAGCACAGAGCACCCCAGGAGTCAGGACTGGGGTGCTCCTGGGGCGCTCACAGGTCCTTCCCAGCGGTTCGTGATCATTCTAGGTAGTAACCTTCCTTGCTCTGACAAGGGTAGTAACCTTCCTTACCGTCACATTCTTTGGGTAAAGACATCATCAATGCTTTTTTTTCCAATATGGCAACATGGCACAGCAGCAGATTACAGTAATCTCCACCTCTTTACAATCACATGGTACGGCACAACCGTACATTCCTTCACCTGCCCGCACTCTTGAGTCCAGGCCTTAGCTGCCCGGTCATCTGGCAGCCCCCACTTCGTAGATTCTGCCGAGCTCCTCGGGGGGGTGTCGTTCGTAGGAGATGTTGTCGAAGGGCGCATGAGTGTCCATGCCGTACACTCACCCACGCCCGCACAGGCTTCTCAGCTGCCCACCAGCGCCTGCCCAGCAGCTCCCACTTCGAATAATCTGCTGAGCTCCTCAGGAGGGTCGTAGGAGATGTTGTTGAAGGGCGCGTGCATGTCCATGCCGTACACTCGCCTCACAATGTCGTACGTCTCCTGCGGATGGGGCGCACATAAGCAGGGATGACACACAAGCAAGGAGTGGAGGGCGGCACATGCATGAGAATGAACAAGCGTGCATGTCCATGCCGTACACTCGCCTCACAACGTCTTATGACTCCTGAAGGTGGGGCACACATGCGGAGCAGGGGGAAGGCAGCAGGTGCAAATGAGTGCGTGCGCAGGCATGTGGGATTTCAGAGTGCGCAGGAGGGTCTGTGCATGTCCATGCCGTATACTCGCCTCACAATGTCGTACCTCTCCTGGAAAGAGGATTGCACAGACGGAGGAACACAGAACGAGCATGAGGGTGAGCGGGCAGGCTTGTGGGATGCAGGGGTTGCGGGTGATATCGCTCCCTTCCAGGCATGGATGCGGGTGATATCGCTCCCTTCCAGGCATGGATGCGGGTGATATCGCTCCCTTCCAAGCATGGATGCGCCAAAGAGTATATTATGTCTGCTTTTCAGTGGATAATCTACAGAAAGCGCTTTTCAGTGGATAATCTACAGAAAGCGCTTTTCAGTGGATAATCTACAGAAAGCGCTTTTCAGTGGATAATCTACAGAAAGCGCTTTTCAGTGGATAATATACAGAAAGCGCTTTTCAGTGGATAATCTACAGAAAGCGCTTTTCAGTGGATAATCTACAGAAAGCGCTTTTCAGTGGATAATCTACAGAAAGCGCTTTTCAGTGGATAATCTACAGAAAGCGCTTTTCAGTGGATAATCTACAGAAAGCGCTTTTCAGTGGATAATCTACAGAAAGCGCTTTTCAGTGGATAATCTACAGAAAGCGCTTTTCAGTGGATAATCTACAGAAAGCGCTTTTCAGTGGATAATCTACAGAAAGCGCTTTTCAGTGGATAATCTACAGAAAGCGCTTTTCAGTGGATAATCTACAGAAAGCGCTTTTCAGTGGATGGACTACAGAAAGCGCTTTTCAGCGCTTGCTTCTTCTGCAGTCTCACTTCCTTCCACGCCCACATTCCAGCACAGCAACGGAGTTTGATAATTCTTACAAAGCTCTTTCAGAGGACACTGTGCTGCTCCCCTCGCTCCCGCGACTTAGTGGGGTGGACCTTATTGCCCAAGTCGCAGGCACTGCCCGGGTCCCGAAGTGATACCGCACAGCAACAGGCGTGAGATCGCACTCATACATCACTTATCTCTCGGAAAACTGTGACCCTCACCTTATTATTGAACACGTGCTGCAGCTGATCTCTGGACTCGGTGGGGTGGATCTTCTTGCATCGCCCGGGGTCCCCAAAGGGATCTAGCACAGCAACACTGTGATATCGCCCACCCCATCACCCCCATCACCTCCATCACCCCCATCACCCTCATCACACCCATCACATCACATCACCCCCATCACCCCCATCACATCACATCACATCACCCCCATCACCCCCATCATCCCCATCACCCCCATCACCCCCGTCACCCCCATCACCCCCATCACATCACATCACCCCCATCACCCCCATCAACCCCATCACATCACATCACCCCCATCACCCCCATCACCCCCATCACCCCCATCACATCACATCACCCCCATCACCCCCATCACCCCCATCACATCACATCACCCCCATCATCCCCATCACATCACATCACCCCCATCACCCCCATCACCCCCATCACCCCCATCACCCCCATCACATCACATCACCCCCATCACCCCCATCACCCCCATCACCCCCATCACATCACATCACCCCCATCACCCCGATACCCCCATACATACCGTACTTCACTTCTCTTTAAAGAGAACGTGTGAGGCTCACTTCATTATTGAACATGTGCTGCAGCTGGTCTCCTTTGCAAGAATCGTTCACCTTGATTCTTAGCATCCTGTAATCGCTGCATGCGCCTCACCTTATTACTGAACATCTGCTGCAGCTGGTCTCTGGACTTGGTGGGGTGGATCTTCTTGCCAAAGTCAAAGGCGTCGCCGGGGTCGCGGCCAAAGCGGTGCATGAGGGCCATCACGTCCGCGTCCATGCTCTCAAAGCGCCCCACGTAGTCGTAGCGTATGCGGTCCAGCCCACACAGGATGTTCTGATGTGGGGAGGGAGGGGTGAAGGGGTGAAGGGGTGTGTGCGGGGAGGATGCGGTGGGGAGGGGAGGAGGGGGGTGGAGCACGGGGAAGGGGGTTGGGGTATGGAACAACGATGCCTGCTTCCCGAGGGGCAACGTGCAGGGAATAAACACCTCAGGGTAAAGGTTCAAGCAGCAAGGTACCTGAGGGGGGATGTGCACATCCAGGAACCAGCGCCTGTCCTCGTCCCAGGCATCCCCCAGCAGCAACGTGCAAGCAATAAGTACCCGAAGAGAGTGTGATAAGTACCCGATGGGAAAGGTGCAAGCATTAAGCACCTCAGGGGCAAGGGAGAAGGGTGCAAGCGCATTACCTGGGGGGCGATGTGTTCATCGAGGAACCAGCGCCTGTCCTCGTCCCAGGCATCCCCCAGCAGTCGCACAAACTCCTCAAACGACAGCAGACGCCCCATCTCCATCTCTATCTTGTCTTTCCACACCCCCCACCAGCTTCTGCTGCGTTTCCTCCACCCCCCCCCCTCTGCTGCTTCTGCTGACTGTGCCACTGCACCTTCGTCCTCCCCTGCTGCCCCTCCGGCAAAAAAATCTCCCTCGTTTCCCCGAAATCTGAGCCGGTCCCTGGCCCGCAGCGCCCAAAGCTGCCCGAAAAACCTCCTCGTCCAGAACCGCCGACCCCGCCTCAGTCCCCGGCACCCGGCCCCCGCCCCCCGGCACCCGGCCCCCGCCCCCCAGCCCCCGGTCCACAGCCCGCCGATCCCCACGTGCTTGTTGAGATACGCCGATACGATTCTGGTGAAGGGCTGCCGAACGAACACGAACCTGGTGTAGTCGGTTCGGGTGATGGCTCGGATGGCGTCAGGTTCGGAGATTGAGTACCAAACCTCGGTGATGTTGCTGGTGGCTGGGAGTAGGGCTTCTGGGAACTGGTTGGGGTGGGGGTGGTGGTGCTGCTGCCGAATCCAGAACTTCCAACTGGTGGATCCCACCTTCTGTACTTCGCAGTATACTAGACCCACTGTGTCTGATGGGAGTTGGGCGTGGCATGGTGGGGGGGAGGGGATGGGGAAGAAGGAACAAGAGTGAGAGTGTGGCACTATATGGATTTTTGAGGCGCCTCAAAAGGAGTGAGAGTGTGGCACGGGTGGATCCCACCTTCTGTACTTCGCAGTATACCAGCCTCACGTACTCTACGAACAGCCAGACTGACAAACCCCTTCCATGTTGATACATCCAGGCGTGATTGAGGTGCTCCCACTCACCATCCGCTATTAACTGCCTCCCAATGCGATTCTGAGAATGTAAAAAAAAAAAAAAACTCTCCCAATGCGCTGCGTGTTAGTGGCATACGTATCAATAATTCTCATTGGAGCGCCGGAATTTTCCATTTGTTCTCATGGGACGGGTCAAACAGGCCACTCACCATCCACATTCAGTTGCCGTCCCATGCGGTGCTTATCAATCGGCACGATGAACGGCGCATGGCACAACCCACGTTCCACCTCAAACACCCCACCGCTCGCTCTCCCCTCCTCGCCCTTCCCCCTCTCCTCCCCGCCCTCCCCCCTGCTACTCCCCCTCACACCAGTCACTGTGGGCCCCGCTCCCCGCGGGACAGTCTCAGGCGCCACCAGCACGTCGCGCACGAGGAGCGTTCTCCCTCTGGCGGAGGCCTGCGCGTGCATGAGGTCCGCCTTGGGGGAGTGTTGCAGGTAAATGAGGCCCTGGGCGGATGCGAGAGTGAATAGCTCCGCTGCTTCTAGCTGCGCGCATTCTACCCATGCGCCCACTCCCCGCTCCCCCGGCTCCATCTCTTCACTCTCGGCGCTTCCCCCACTTCCCCCACTCCCGCTGCTACCAAACTCAGGCTCCCCGTCGCCTCGTTCCCCTCCCGTTTCACCGCCGTCCCTGCCGCTCCCCGCCCACCAGCCAAACCACCCAGAACTCCTTCTCACCGCCTCTCGCTCAGCGATCTCCTTCAATGTGGGTTCCGCAGGGGGGATGGGCGGGGGGAGCGCCTCCCCCCATGCGGGGTTGGGGCGGCAGAGGGCGGAGCGGCGCAGGGTGGCGCGGAGAAGGTGCGGCTGGCGGGAGGGGTGGAAGGTGTGCGCAACTGCCAGCGCCTGCGACGGCCAGAACCCCGCCACTGTAGCGTCGCCTTCGGGCTGCCCGAGAAAAAACCACATGAGGCGGCGGGTGGTGCAGTTGACTGTGTGGTGAGGGTGGCAGCTGGTGCAGGGCGGGTTCAGAGGGTAGAGGGATACAGGCTCTATGTAGACAGCTGTGCTGTGCTGGACACGTGTCAGGTTCTCATTGGCTATCAGCTCCTGCACGGCTGTGGACGGCTGTAGCAGGCTGTAGCAGCGCTTCAGGGACGTGTGGAACCGGGAGGAGCCGTCCACGTCAGCAAGGGTGTTGATAGAGGCAGCCATGGGGGGGAGGGAGGAGGAGAGGAAGAAGTCGACTTGCAGGGTGCGAGAGGGATGGGCGGAGGGAAGGGGTTGGGAGGAGGAGGGGTCGAACGTGCCGGCTTGTTTTTCCTGTTGCTGCTGCAGCTGCTCTTGGGATATCGGCTGGGGAATTTCCGTCTTGAGGGTCTGTTGGGATGCGCCGTTGCGCAAGGCGAACACGCGGGGGGAAGGCGGGAGGGTGTGGTGGGGGGGGGGGGGGGAGAAGGGAAATGGGCGGAACACGATCATGAATTGGGAAAGAAGCAGAGTTGAGTGACTAGTAAGCTGACGACCAAGCACGCTCGCGGAAAAGAAAGGGGCGAGTAAGAATGTATGCAAAGGAAGCATAATCATCATGATGTGTGCTCAGCAGCATGTGGACAAAGAACCTACCCCATAGGTATAGAGCAGCAAGTTGAGCCAGCTCGGGCGGTGGTCCAGCACGACCACAGCCTCCTCGTCAGACGCATCCACCCGGAATGACGGCGACTCCTGCGCCTGAAACTCGCCCTGCCGACCGCCACTTTGTGCGGCGCCGAGCGCGCTCGGGGGAGGCAGAGGGCCCAGCACGTGTCTGAGCGTGGCGTGCGGCATGGCTCGATCCGGCAGCCATAACACGGCCAGGCGCAACGGCCGCTGCTGCTGAGGTGGCTGCGGTTGCCGCTGCTGGGAAGACGCAGCGGCGTTGGTGTACCAGAGAGTATCTGGGACTCCAGCCGGCAGCTTGGACGACAGGAGGTGGTGCAGCGCGTACCCCGCGCACACTGCCTCCAGCCGCTTGTGAAGCGGACCCTGCAGGGAGACGGAAATACCGAATTGGCATGGAAATCACCTCGGAGGTTGGATGGTTTTTGGGTTTGGAGCGAGAATAACTCTTGTGAAGTGGACCTTGGATTTGAAAAGACGTCATTACCAAGGTTGGAAGGATTTTGGGGAAAGGAGAGAGGGAAAATAACTGCAGACTAAAAAAATAATGACACAGCTCATCAGAGAAATACCGTTTAAATAACATCTTGATCCGTCGTCTCAATACATTTGAATCCTTTCTAGATATTCACTAAGACATGCCTTGGCCCATATGACGACGTCCGGGTGAGAGACGTTGCGGCTCAGGCTTCTAGCTTCCTCAGTCGCCGCGTCTTCTGCTGCCAGTTCCGCAAAAACCGGCCAAGGATTAGAAAAGACGAAGAATTTCTGGCCGTCGCCAGCGACTGACATGGATGCTTCGCGCGTTAGCGTGACTAATACAAAACTGACGATGAGCACTGCAAGAAATTTCGACACGCGTTGCCATGTCGCATTCTTGGACCACAAAGCTGAAAATGCACTATTTTCGTTACATAATCGCCGGTCAATACGGACTCTTAAGGCCCAGGCTAGATCCTTTCTCACAACCGCTCGAAACAGCGTAATTAAACCTCTTCCCTTGGCCATGGGAATCTCATTAGTAATATCATCAGCTTAGCGTACAATGCAATAGTTCCTATTCCTAGAGCTTCCAGATCACGCTTGTTCAATGACTTCCTTCTCAATGGCCAACTCCTAACCACCTCCAACTCTCTTCGGAGTTGCAGATCAAACAACAAGATCCGCCAAGCGAGATGTCCTTGAGGTGAGGTCAGAGCATGCAGCTTGAACTCGGTGGGCAATCGGTTGTGTTGTGTGCCGCCCATGAAAGTAGCAATTACGATAAGGATCATCGCAAGGCTTTTGGGGCGGCTAACACAATTCACTTTCTGTTCAGTTCAAGCGGTTGTGTACGATGTTGTGCACCCTAATGCTGTTCATTTTTTCACCGTTTTGAACCGTTTACAACCAGCCTGAACTCTCATGCATGCATCAGTGTGGGAAGTGGATGGGGCGGGAGAGGGGCGGACCCCTATGGCTTCGGTTCGAGAGTCGCGACTCGAGATTCAAGGAAAACTTTGACATTGTCGAAATTGTACAGCGCACCCTTGACATGTAAACGGATCACCCAGCGAAACAACAGTGTTCCGATGCAAGGCTGTCATACACATATTACATATAACAAACAGTGTCAGCGGATATTCATAGTACATATTAAAGAATACAAATAGTACCTCAAGAACAAAATACACCATCCATAAGCGGTAGGCTAAAAAATCATAAAAATACACCGAAGACCTTATGCAAGGGTGGAAAAAAATGTGTCCACATTGGCAGCCACCACTGCAAGCGATGCTTTCAATTGATCGTTGGAAAGAGGCTTGGTCATAAATCCATTCATCCCAATGTCCCGGCACCTCTCAGGAGCTCCGGCCACAAGGTCGGCCGTGATGGCAAATATCGGAACTCGATGCCGGCCCACCTGCTCCTCCAGCCGTCGGATTTCGATGGTTGCATCATAGCCGTCCATCACCGGCATCTGCAGAGCAACGAGAAGACATTGATGAATACCAGTCGTGTGTCCTCAAAACAAGTATGGTTGTGGAGAGACGAGAGATGGAGGAGGACACAGAAGCTGGGATGTGCTAAAATGAGATACGGGAACAAGCAGTGCTCGTCGGTGGGAGGTGGGAGGTGGGAAGTGGAAGTGGGAAGTGAGAGTGGGAAGTTTGAAGTGCTAAGTGGAAGTGGGTGTAGGTGGGTGTAGATAGGAGGAAAGCCATGAAAACGCACCTGAAGGTCCATAAAAACGCACACAAACCCGTCCCCTCCACCTCCCTCACCCCCTTCACCATCACTCGCACCACCCGCAGCACCCCCATCTCCACTCCCTTTCATCCCCTCTATAAACCGCTCCACTGCCACGCAGCCGTTCTCTGCCTGCACGCCCACCATGCCGTACGGCCGTAGCTTTGCCAGCACCACTTTGCGGTTCACCGCGTTGTCATCCACCACTAGCACCCGCCGCCCTCTCAGCCTTGCTGTGAGGGACCGCGGGGAGAGAGGGGGGGCGGGAGCTTGGCTCGGCTCGTCCACCTGCCCTGCTTGATTTGACTCCGCGGAGGAGGTTTGGGGTGTTTCAGAGGAGGTTTCGCGCGTGGTTTCGGGGGAGATATGGCCGCCCTGGTGGTGGTTCCCTGTTTCAGACCCTGGTTTTAAGTCCAGGAGCCCTGCTTCACCGTCTGTCTCCTGCTTTCTTGTCCCCTCTCCCCCCGCGCTGCTACCTCTGTCTTCAGCGCCTCTCCCTGCTTCCTCTCCCGCTCGTTGACCCTCCTGCTCCCTCCTCTCCCCCTCCCTCTCATCACACTCTTCTGCTTCATTATAAATGGCATCAACAACTGTTGCAGCTGTAGCAGCAACAGCTGTAGCAGCAGCTGTAGCAGCAGCAGCAAGCTCCTCCTGAACCAGGTCAGTCAAGGACAGTGCTGCTGGCAACGCTACAGCCCTTGCTGCTACAGCCTCTGCTGCTACAGCCCCGGCCGCTGAAACCCCTCCTGCTGCATACCCAGCTGAGGCATCTGTAGCAGGCACAGCAGCAGATGCTGCTACCTCCCAAGGGACCACCGCAGGAGCAGAGATGTGAGCAGCGGAAGAGGCGGTCGGGGAGGCGACAGGGGAGGAGGCGAAGGAAGCAGGGATGGCAGCAGAGTGCGTGGACTCAGGTAAGCACGCAGCGAGAAGGTCCCTTTCAGCCGTGAGAGTGGAAGGCGGAATGAGCGAACGGGAGAAGGGCGAGGAGGAGGGTGAAGAGGATGGCGAGGCGGAAGGGGCAACAGCAGCAGCAGCAGCAGCAGCAGCAGCAGCAGCAGCAGCAGCAGCAGCAGCAGCAGCAGCAGCAGCAGCAGCAGCAGCAGCAGCAGCAGCAGCAGCAGCAGCAGCAGCAGCAGTGGGGGCAGTGGGAGCAGCAGGGATCCAGCTACGTGATGGGGATGGGGACGCGTGTGACCGCGCCAGGCTCCTGCCGCTGCTCGTGCTCGCCGTGCTTCCCGGACTGCTCACGTACCCATCCATACCCCTCGTGAGCCCATCTGTACCCACCTCCACCATGTCTGGGAACCGTGCTCTGCTTCCCAATCTCCGCTCCCTCACCCTTCCTCCCCCCTCCTCCCCTGACCGCTCCTCCTCGCCTGCTTCTGCAAATGTGACTCCTCTTCTCCCGCCTCGTCGCCCCAACCAATCGGCTTCAAGAGTCTTGGCTCGTCTAATCTCCATCTCCTCACACCGTTCTGCATCCCCTCCCTTTTCCTCTTCCCCATCCCCTCTCTCCTCACGCCCACCTGTCACATTGTTACCTCCTCCTTCGTTCCCCTCCCCTCTTAACGCAATCCCACTCCCCTCTCCTCTCCCACCATCCCCTCCCCACCTGCCACCAATCAGAAGATCCATCTCAGAGGACCAGGAGGAGGGGATAGCAGCCAACCCACTCCCAGATACCACCTCCCCTCCACCCCATACGTCATCCCCAAAGGCACCCTCCCCAGCTGCACCTCCCCCAGATGCGCCCTCCCCAGCTGCACATTCCCCATTTCCCAGGTGAGAAACAGAAGGGTAACCTTCCCTCTCCGCTCTCCTCCTCTCCTTACAGCTCTGCGACCCTTTAGTGATAGTCCTGCTACCGCTACTATCACCTGTAGTAGCACCCCTCGTTGTACTCACACTCCTGCTACCACTGCTCTCATCTGTAGCGGCCCTTGTCATACCGATACCGCTCGTATCACCTACAGGAACTCTCGTTTTACTCACAGTCCTGCCACCGCTACTGTCACATGTAGCCACTCTTGAAATGCTGATACTGCTATCACCCGTTTTACTCACAATCCTGGTACCACTACTGCCATCTGTAGCAGCTTTCGATATACTCACACTGCTGAAACCACTGATATCGCCTGCGGCAACAGTCGGGTTACCAGTGACCCTGCCCTCCTCACTCTCACCCATAACCACCTTCGCTTTACTGACAATGCTGCAAGCTAGGCTGCTTGTGCTGTGACTGCTGCCCATCCGATACTTGCCCATTCTGCCGAGCTTACCACCCCCAGAACGGTGGCTGCTGCTGCTGGTGTTGCTTGTGCTGCTTCCACCCACCACACCCCTCCCTCGAGCCAACCCCCTGCCACCAGTGGAACTACTGCTGGTGTAGCCGCTGTCACCGCTCACATACCCAGTGTCACCGCTGACATAACCACCAGCACCACTGGCATAACCGCTATCACCACTCACGTACCCCACATCCTCTCTTGTTTCAGCAGCAGCAACAGCAGCTGTAGCCAGTGAATTGGGGCCAGCACCCCTGTCCGGAGAAACAAGGCCCCGACCATGGGCACTAGAACGCGCACCAGGCCCCTCTCCCTCACTTACACACCCCACAGCCCCAAGAGCCTGGTTACCAGACTGGTTACCAGGTTGGTTAGCAGGTTGGTTACCAGGCTGGTTACCAGCACCACTGTACCACGCCAGGTTTTGCGGAGACTGGTTACCAGACTGGTTACCAACATCATCACTATCAGCCACATGTTGCCCTGCTGGTTCCTCTGCCTGTGCTGCTGCTGCTGATGCAGAGGCAGCAAAAAATCTGGTACCAGCAGCAGCAGGAACATCCCCAGCATTACCACTAACACCAGCATCACCGCCAGCACCAGAGTTGGCAGCAATAGCAGAATAGTCCCCAGCACCACTGGTCTTATCAGTGGTGATACCAGTAGGAGACCCAGCCACAACTGCTGCTGCTGCTGCAGCAGAGGCTCTCTTGCCCGACTCCCCCCATCGAGCAGGAGTCAAGGATCGGAACACCGCCCGAACCTGCTGCTCCACCCTCTGCCGAACCGGGGACGGAAGCCTCGGGAGTACAGACGCTCCTGCCGAACCTGATGCTGCTGCTGCCGCTGCTTCTGCTGCTCCTGCCGCACCTGATGCTTCAGACGCTGCAGTTGCTTCTGATAAGGCTGCCACGGCTGTTGCCGAAGAAGTTGCTGCTGAAGCTGCCACCTCCAGACCTCCCAGGCCGATTCCAAACCTAGCTTCCGGGGTCCGAGCCTCCCCTCTGGCTCCTTGCCTCTGGTCTAGCCTTGGACTGACCAAAGGTCTGATAAACGGCCGTGAGAGGCTTGGAATTGCGCCCACTGAACCTGAGAACTGGCTCGGAAGGACCTGCTCCCTCATCCCCCGCAGATTCGCTTGCTCCTGCTGCCTCTCCCCCTCCTGTTGTCTCCCTCCCTCCTGCTGCCTCCCTCCCTCCTCCTGCATCTGTCCCTCCTGCGCAGGCCAAGTCTCCTCAGAGCTCTCAGAGCTGCTCCTAGCAGCACCGACCAGTAACTTCGTTGCCCCCTCCTCCCCAATCCTCCCTCTCCTCTCTACTTCTGCTCTCAGCACTCCCGCCTCCCCTCCTCTCACTGCAGTTGCTCCTGCTGCTGCCGCAGCAGTGGTTGCTGCTGCAGCAGAGGGGTTAGCCGAAGGAGGGATGGAAACGAGGCGTGGGGACGAGAGCGCGAGGGAGGATGAGGAGGAGGAAGTGGAAAGGGAACCGGGAGTGAGAAAGGAGGGGAGAGGGGAGGCAGGGACGGGATGGGGGAGGAGGGAATAGGTGGAGGGAGTGAGAGGAGTGGTGGGAAGGTGGGTGGGAGGGAAGGTGGGGGTTGGGACGGGGAGCCTGTGTGATGCGAGAGGAGAAGAAGGGCAGTTTTGAGGCGCCTCAAAACTAGTGGTGGGAAGGTGGGTGGGAGGGAAGGTGGGGACTGGGAGTGGGAGCCTGTGTGATGCCAGAGGAGAAGAAGGGGGTATTGTGACGGTCGAGAAGCTTCCAGGAAACGATGGGACGAGGAGGGTGGGGTTCTGTGAAGGACGGGAAGGGGCGAGTGAGGAGGTGGAGAGGGAAAGCGAGGAAGGGGTGGAGGCAGAGGAGGAGGTTCCCAGAGGGCTTAGGTCATTCTGGTTCCTGTCCAGATTCACTGCACCTGAACCGCTTGCCTGCTGGTTGTCCACATTCGCCTGCTGGGTGTGAGTCACAGTAAGGGGCGGCACAGGGGCAAGAGCAGTGGCAGCCGAGCAGGCCCCATCAGCAGCAGCGCCAGAAGACCGATCAGCAGCCACAGCTCCATCGTTTATCGCTGCTGCTGCTGTTGGTGCTGCTGCTGGTGGTGGTGGTGCTGCTGCTGCTGCTGCCGCTGCTGCTGGTGCTGCTGCTGCTGCCGCTGCTGCTGGTGCTGGTGCTGCTGCCACTGCTGCCGCTGCTGCTGGCGCTGCTGCTGCCGCTGCTGCTGCCGCTGCTGCCGCCACCGCTGCTGCCATGGCTGCTTCAGTAGCCTTGTCCGCTCTCGCCCCTGCAGGTCTCTGGTAGCTTTTCCTCCTAGACCATACCCTAGACACCCTCCTCTGCTTCCCACTCAACAGCTCTCTCTCCCTTTCCTTCACTACTTCTCCCACTACTTCCCTACTCTCCTTCTCCTTTTCCTTCTCCCTCTCCCTCTCCTTCCCTCCATCAGCAAGCCTCCCTTTCTCTCTCTCCCCCGCTCTCCGGCCCAGTTCCTCTCGTCTGCCCGAAAACGACCGGCTAATCCTGCCCGAAGCCCTCACAGCCGCTGGAAACAGCAGAAAACTTTTGCCGGCACTGCCCGAGCGAGAAACAGGAACACCGACCTTGCTGACGTCACCACCAGGACTGCTGCTGACGTGGGTCGGGGTCACACCAGCACGATTGCCACTCAGAGTGTTACTGTTCCTCCTCCCACTGTTACCGTTACCGTTACTGTTACGGTTACTGATACTGTAGCTGTTACTGTTACCAGTCGCGCCGCTGTTACCACTCAGGTGGGAACTGCTCCCAGCAGTGGAGAGCGCGGTAGTTATACCTACCTCAGAATAGACAAAATTTGCCAGCCAGTCGGTGAGAGTCCAGCAGGAGAGCAGCGCAGTGTCGATTGCGTCTCTCTGATCCTGATCCAACTCGCACTCTTCCACCAACAGTTGCAGCATGCCTGGTTGGGGCGGGGGAGGGCCAGGGGAGGAGAAACAGCAGGATGTGGGGGGGGGGTGTGGGGTGAGAAGAGGAGAAAATTGCGTAGCGCCACTCGCAGAGTGCCAATTGCATCTCTCTCACTACTACTCCCACACACACTGCGAACTCACCTATAATCCCGTTGATCGGAGTCCGTATCTCGTGTGAGATGCACCCGAGAAACTCCTTCTTGGCCCGGACTGCCCCCTCCTGAGTGGCCCTGGCAGCTCTGTGAGATGCCTGGCCGCCTGAGCTGAGCATCCACGCGGCCCCTACCTCTACTCCCACGCACACTACCAACTCACCTATAATCCCGTTGATTGGAGTGCGAATCTCGTGCGAGATGCACCCGAGAAACTCCTTGGCCCGGACTGCCCCCTCCTGCGTCGCCCTGGCAGCAGCCAGCTCTGTGAGATGCTTCGCCGCCTGAGCCTCCATTCGTTCCGCCACCTCCCACATGGCCCACAGGCAGCACGTCACAAGGGTAATGGCAAAGAGAAGGCCGCCACACACGACAGAGACCTGCAGGCCAAACCCGAACTGCAACCGCTGCTGCTGCCGCTGCTGCTGCTGCTGCTGGTACTGGTGACGCTGGTGCTGCCGGTACTGCTGGTAGTACTGATCGTATGGCTGCTGCTGCTGGTGCTGCTGCAGATGAAAATTCTGCGGCTCCTGCAGCAGGGGGTGAATCTTCTGAAGTCCCACCACTCCCCCCACTTCATCCACCGTCCCTCTTGACCACACACCTGCCCCTGCCGATACGCCTATGCCTGCCCCCGCCCCCGCCCCTGCGCCTAATTGCATGGCAAGCACGGCAATGAGCAGCACAGTGGCAATGAGGGCAAGTCCAGCCAACAAGCACCACAGGCAGATCACCAGCTGCCGCCAGTGGGAGAGTGGCGGAGGGGTGGACGGCGGGTAGGCGTCCTTGTGACCGCTACTGCTGATGCTGGTGGCGATGGCGCTGCTGCTGCTGGTGATGGTGCTGCTGCTGTGGTGCTTTGCTCTGTGCTTCCTGCTGTGCTGCTGGCTGCTGTGCTGCTGCCTATGGTGCCGGCTGAACCGCTGACTCTGCATTGGGCTGCTGATTGCACCACGCTCTGCTTCCTCATTCCCCAACCCTCTCTCCCTCTCCTTCCTCTCAAGACTCCTCCACCTCCCCTCTCCCCCTCCTCGTTCCCTTTCCCCCTGACTCCTCCCCCCTCCATACACCAATGGCACCTCCCCTACTGCTGCATCCTCCCACTCCCCATCCCACTCCGCCACCTCCTTTCTCAACTGGTCTGCCCGGCTGCTTGTCCTCTTTACAGGCGCACCCAGTTCGCTATAGTCACCCGAGACTGTACGTGGAAATGGATGAGCAGGCTCGGCAAGTTTGGCTGCTGCAGCCAAAGTTGCCTCGTTGGCAGGTTCGGAGACAGGTCCGGAAGAATCCTTCTGAGGTTCGTCTGGTGCAGCAGCAGCGGCAGAGAGAGTGCCTAATGCAATGGGTAAGGCAGAAGAAAGTGCCACGTCAGCAGGAGAAGGGGCCCCAGCAACAGCTTCTCCTGCCAATGCGCCGCCCAAAGTCGCCAGGTGGCCAATACTGCCGACAAACACCGACTCATCGAGCGCTGACCTGTCGCTCGGTGTCAGCGATCCCATGCGTGAGTCAGCACGTGCCAGGCCCAGGCTGGCACGACTCAGCGTCGTTGCTCCTTGCGCACTC